CCCCTCCCTCCCTCTCTCATTTAAACCTCTCAACAATTTTATGAAAAAGGATCACTCTAAGATCTGGAAACTAAGGCACAGAGAAGATAGGTGATTTACCTAAGGTCACATAGCAAGTAGGAGGCAGAACTAAGACTGAATCCCAGGCACACAGCTCAAGATCTAAGTACTGTAACACTGCCCACTACACAACAGTGCATGGAAAGTATAATTAATCAATGCTACTACTTGTGTACCACTTATCTATCTTTCCCAAATATTTCAAAGTTTGTTTTTGTTTTTTTAATATCTCTGTCTTTTCAAATTTAATAGTGTAGTTTTGATTTGTGGGCTAAAGCTCATTCAGGTTCAGGGTTTATTCTTAGAAATATATAAAAAGGAACTCTGTATTTCCAACAGTGAGCTTTAGTAATACTTATCTATCACTATGAATGGTTTTTTTTTTTTTTTTGGAACCACTAATGTCTTATATTTTCGCTCTTTGATTTGTAATTACAAGTTTAACTTAATGCTCTTCTTTATTTGCATAGATGTACAATCTAACGATTAATTGTGCCAGCACTTTATTGTTTTTATGACTGGACCAAATCATTCATAATGCCTCTTATGATTATAGGACCAAGAACAAACATTTTCTAGATATTATACTTGTTAGGCAATATACTCTATAACCAGAGTATGGTATTTAGTGTTTAATACCACCCACTTCTACTTCCCAGTTTCCACATGTTATTCAATTTTACTCTTGATAAAAATTTGTTTTTGGCATAATGCTATAGGAAAAAACCATAATGCATATCCAGTTTATTATACTATTTATATCTACCACTATAAACTAGTATTCTGATTACTAAACTCCTATAAATTATCATTGCTCAGTTCACCATAGCTAAACCATTCTTGGATGGCTTAATAAGAACTTAAGTTTCTGAACTTTTAAGAATGAGTATTACTTTTTTTCATTCATGCAACAAGTATTTATTAAGTGCTTACTACATGCCAAGCATTTTAGGTCCCATGCTACAAGATAATTAGGGCACATTCTTGCTCTCATGGATTTTAGTGGAGAAAAGCAATTAAAAAACAATAAGAATAGATAATGACAATACCATGATGATAATATGTAACAAGACTATATGATAGAGACCAGAGGGCTCTTTTGTCAAAAAAACCCTCTTAACCAAAGAGGTAACATTTAAACCAAGAGGTACATGACAAGAGCAGCCAAATTTCATTAAAATCACATCCCTCCTGAAGTCTACTCATGTACTTTGTTCCAATGAAATTTGTTAAACATTATCTAGTCAGTGGATAAAGCATAGCACAGATACAGATCATTTATATAAGAGAAAGAGCAAGAGAAAATGGTCACATATCCTCTATTTGGTAATTCAAAAATGCTCACTTGTAACATTTTCAAATCTAAACCATATAGAAGTATATATAGTAAAATAGGGAAAAATAATCTCATTCTCATTACTTCTAATTCTATTTTTCAGAGCTAATTAGTGCTAAGAGTTTGGATTCTGTTCTTTCTGACCTTTTTCTTGGTGTTATTTATTTACCTTCACCTACTTAAAAAATTTACGAGTTATGTAACACATTTTTTGGCAGAATTCAAACAGTATAAAAATATACAGAACAAACCTGAGAAGTCTCCCTTCTTTACTTCTGTTAAGCTTCCTCTCCTCCAAAATGGTAACCATTGTTAATGATGTATATCTGTGAGCTCTTGTTCACTTATACATGTACACATATTTTAGGGTTTTTTGGTGTTTTTAAAAACAGAAGAGAACAACTATATTATTTGTATTTTACCAGTGTTCTTCATCATCCTGCTTATTTTTAACTATTGAGAAAGCTCTTTCAATTTGAGTATAGCCCTGACTCATTTTTTTCTGTTAATAGGTGTTTAGCTCCTTTATATTTATTATTGCAATAATCTTTCGATTTCAGTCCTTTTTTTGGGTTTTATTCTTTTTTATTTTTTACATTTGAGTGTATGTAAATTTGAAAGAGATACACATTTAAGTTGTGATATATCATAATATCTAAGAACATACACTATAGGAGAAAAGAAACACTTTGGGTTTAATCCTTTACTATATAACTTTGAGCAAGTTACTTATCCCTTCTGTAACTCATCTATAAAATGGGAATGACAGTATTTACTTGTTAGTATGAGAATTAAATGAGTTACTATATAAGAAGCATTTAAACAGCTCTTTGCAAACTTAAGTATTATACCTACTAATAATAGCAACAATATTACTGATTATCCCTATAACTTTATTTAATATCCATAACCTGTATTTTCATGTTCTACATAGAACTGATTAGCTCCTGCTGATGAATAATGGCAATTGTTCTCTTTTCCCCATCACTCAATTTAGTTGATACAGTTTTTACTGCTTACCTTTATACTTATAAATATACCTATATCTGTAGTCTGATTTATCACTTTTAAATAATATCTCTTGACACTGAAAGTTAAGGAAATCTGTATACTTCACTACTTTCTACCTTCTCTCTCTTTTATACTTCTAACTCTTGTAAATTTTATCTGTTCTATGGTGTCCGAATTAATGTTCATATTCCTAGTCTTAGAGATGGTTGTATTCAGTGATCATTACCAATCCTTTTGCAGTAAATTAATAAAATAGAAAATAGAGAAACAACAAAAATCAGTAAGAACCCAAAAGAATTCTTTAAGATAGATATTTCAGATGGGTTTGTGGTAAGAGTACTTTAGAGTAACCTACTATATTAACTAACTAAACAAACAAAAAAAAGATATATCTTAAGGATATTAAAAAACAAAAACTTGCAGCATATGTTAAAATTCAGCATCCAGAAATAATTATAAAATCCAAGAGTCAATAAAGTATTAGAACTTAGTTATTATTATACAGTAAAAAGTACCAGAGCAATTAGATATCTCTGTGGTAAAAATTTAATTAAATTCCTACATTTCATACTAAGTACACAAAAAAATTCCATGTGGATTAAGATTAGAGAGCTGAGTGTGAAAACGTAAAACTATAAAAATTCATAATACATGAGAGACTATAATCAGAGAAAATATAGCAAATATTCTAAGACTTCAAGAAAATTGGTTGATGGAATGAACATTTCTGAAACATGTGCTTCATTAAGAAATGAAAAGACAAAGACTAAGAAAATATTTATAAAACATCTATCTGATAAAGGACTTGTATCCAAAATATATAAAGAACTCTTAAAAGTCAACAACAAGAAAAAAATTTAAAAAATGGGCAAAACAGCTGAATAGAAACCTCACTAAAGATGCACAGATGACCAACAATCATATGAAAAGATGTCTCACATTAAATGTCCTCAGGGAAATGCAAATTAAAACATTAAGACACTACGATTCAACCATGAGAATGGCCAAAATCCAAAAATAAATAAATAAATAACAATATCAAATGCTGGCAAGGACTTGGAGAAACAAGTCTCATTTGTTACTACTAGGAATGCAAAAAGGTACAGCCACTTTGGAAAGACAGTTGGCAGTTTCTTACAACACGAAATACAGTCTTACCATACAATCTAGCAATCATGCTCTAGGTATTTACTCAAATAATTAAAAACTTATGTCCACAAAATAACCTGCACATGAAAGTCTATAGCAGCTTTATTTATAATTGCCCAAAACCAGAAGCACATCAGACGTCCTTCAATAGGTAAACGGATAAACAAATTGTGGCAGTACATTCATACACTGAAACATTATTCAGTGACAAAAAGACGTGGAGGAAACTTAAATACGTGATGCTAAGTGAAAGATGTCAGTATGACAATGTGTAATTCCAATTATATGACATTCTGGAAAAGGCAAAACTACGGAGAGAGTAAAAAAAGATTAGCAGTTGCCAGGGATTCAGGAAGAGGAAAAGGAGGGACTACTAGGTGTAACACAGAGGATTTATAGGGTAGAGAAACTACTTTATGATACTGTAATGGCAGATACATGATATTATGTATTTCTCAAAACCCACAGAACTGTACAACACAAAGAGCATATCTTAATGTAAACTATGGACTTTCGTTAATAATAATGTATCAGTATTGGGTTCATGAAGTGTAACAAATGTATCACACTAATGCAACTGTGGGTAGAGGGAAAAGGGATGTATGGGAACTCTATAATATGTGCTTAAGTTTTCTGTAAACCTAAAACTGTTATAAATAATGAAGTGTATTAATTTAAATTAAAAAGCCCAAAAGATGATTCCCCTTAGGTTTTAGACTAGTCTAAAGTACCTTTAAATGTGAAGAAATTCCATTAGGATTGCACATACAGCTTCTGTCACCATTATTGTATCAAGATATATCACTGTAGCAGTGTTAGTATATCAATTGTTATAGGAAACAATCTATCAAATAGCAATCATACAGGATTTCTGTCGACTTTATTTCAATTTATTAGTTTATAGGAAGAAAATCAATACCATTTTAAAAAGAGGACAAAAGAAAAAATCCGTTTGAAAATCTATATGTATTCATTTATTTGCCACTTCTAATGAAAATGTATTTTAAAAATCCTCTTAAATATTCTAAAAATTCCAACAGGCTTCAAAATTCAAGGCACTTTAAAAGCTAATCCAGAAATTAGAAATAACATAAGCTTCCAAGTAGCTTAAACTTACAAATGATGATAAAATACATATTCTGGTTTATTTTAACCATTTTACAAGAGTATAGCCAATTTTTAATTATAATATAGTCAAAATTTAATATTAACAAAGGAGAAACAGATAATCTTTAAAAATTTATTTCCATAAGTTTTTCTACTCCATTGATCTTCATTGCTAATCAAAGAGGGGAAATCCTGTTCTTAATTTTTATGGCAATGGTTAAAACCTTTTATGTGTTCTCACTTAAACCTATCAACTTTCATTTTCAACTCAGTTGCATGGGCAGGGGAACTAAGAATCCTGTCACCTTAATGTACCAACCTCTTAAATGACTCCCTCACTGAACAATTTGTACAGATTTATAATAAAATTATATACTATTTTCAAGTTTTCCTCAATTACATATATCTACATATTTTGCAAATAATGTGATATTCTGACACATTAACACACAGTTTGCTGAAAAATGTCTGGCTGTTGCCTAGAAGTCAAGGTCTAGGTGCCGGAAGCATTAATCTATGAGGTGTGACAACCCACACCCGAGCTACCAGGAAAGAATGATGAAACATTTGGAGAGGTTTAAGTTGGTGTAGAAAGGTAGAGCTTAGGAACATTTTTCCCAAGTAAAGATTTAGGAGTTCACTACAGGTTTGTTGAAGTTGTTGATATTCAAGTAAATTTTTTTATAAACTGAAGTATAACTTAAAAGTGTCCAAGTCACGAGTGTAACTTGGTTCATTATCACCAAATGAACAACCTGTGTTTTATATGATGTGATTAGTTATAGGAGCAAGGAGTGGGCAAGCCTGCATTAAAAAAATTCAAAGTTTTAACAGTCTTCAGAGATTTATCAGGCAGATAGAAGATAGACAAACACAAAAAGGGAGGTGTGAAAAAATGTGACATGCTGAAATAATGTAGGAGGGCTGAAGAACGGGATGTCAAATTACAGGAAATATGTCATGCTATAATTAATACTTATCCAGTATAGACTGATTATTGACTTTAAAGACTCATAATTATTTTTTATACAGTTGGGATTTCTAGTCTATACCTATAAGCTTCACAGCAAAAAGCTTTTACCATTGTATTATTTTTAAAAATTAATTCTACAAATTTTCTTCAATGTTTATGTAATCAAACCAATCCATCTTAGCACATCCAATATAACTCTCGACACACTATAGTAAGTGTACAATTCAATTTTTTTTAAATGTTAAATTCCTTTTCTCATTGGAGGTCACTATGAAATATTGTTTTTCTGTTTATTAACTAGAATTCCAGAAACAGTATTTTTCTCTCTGCTGTTCTCTAATTCTTACTTTTAAATCTAGAAATATTTTATAAACTTAGATCTAGTTCTAAAACCTATATTTTATTTTTAAACCCTCTTTCAAACAGCTCTTAGAACTTTTGAGTGTTTAAAAGTCTACTGTAAGTTTTCCATATACATTTCATTTATGTTTGTCAAGACTTACAACTTTTATATTAGAATTGCATTCCAGGAATGAATGTATCAGATATTTAGGAGAGACTTATTCCTCTGTGATGAAATATGCATCTGTCCACCATACTATGCTATTCCCCCAATTTCTTACTAGCTAAGCCATATCAGAAACCCATGGTCACAAAGCATAAAATGAAAAACTTCCACATATGTTACCATCTTACATTTACATCTAAACATTTTTATAAGCCTGCTTTTAAAGCAGATTTCTGACTATATTTGAACAATATTTTTCTGAGACATCTTTAATAATATAACTAATTGGGAAAGAATATTGATCTGAAAGTAAAAAGAAACTGAAGAATATTTGAAAAGATAATTTTTACTAAATATATCCAATCATTGGCAGGAACTACGAAATGACACCTTATAAAATTCTGCATGAAAAATATTAAATAGGTATAAACATAAAATCTTAGTTTCTATTGTAACATATTTACAAATAGTATCTCAAACCAACAATGTTAAAAATTGACTTTTTCTATAAAGAGCTATGTAGTAAATATTTTAGGCTTCGCAGGCCAAGAGGCAAAATCAAGGATATTATGTTAGGTACTTAAGATAGCAAAAAGAAAGAAAAAAAAAATTCACTTTTTTTTTTTTATTGAAGAAATTCAAAATATTATAATGTGCAAATTTTTGTAATATAGGTCTATTAATAAGAAAAGTGAATTTCTTTTCTTGAGATTTTACTTAATGGGGATTCAAAGTTAGTGCCTATGCCATCAAATTTGAGTGTGAATGTTCATTTGTAAAAACTATTCTTTGCTTGCAGGCTATATGAAAACAGACAGGTTGGCCCATAGGCCATAGTTTGCTGACCCCTAGGCTAGAAAATCAAATAAATCATAGGTGTGTTACAATAATGTCACAAATACAAATATACAGCTACAAGACACTATATTAAAATGATAAATTATCTAAATCTGATTAAATGGGATAAATAAAATAAAAATATTGACTTTAAGAGAATTCAATATATAACAGTGTAGATCTAAAATTAGTATTCAATCTAAAATAAAAATTAGTTATTTAATTAGCCATGTTTTGTCTGCCTTCTTAAAATTTTGAATTTGGTAGCTAAAAGGTAGAAGCAATTCAAGTCACCATCAATGGATAAATACATAAGCAAAACGTGGTTATGTGCATACAATTCAACCTTAAAAAGGAATGAAATTCTAACATATGATGTTACAAGTAGTTAAACCTTGAGGACATTATGCTAGGCAAAACAAGCCAATTACAAAAAGACAAATATTGATTCAGCTGTATTAGGTACCTAGATGAGCCAGATTCATAAGTTGAAAGCAACATGGTGGTTACCAGGGTTGAGGGGAAGAGGAAATGAAAGAGGCTGTTGTTTAATGGGTATAGAATTTCAGTTTTCCAAGATGAAGAGTTCTGTAGGTAAATGGTGGTGATGGTTACACGATAGTATGATTCAGTTTAATACAACTGAACTGTATACTTAAAAATGGTTAAAAGATGGTGAATTTTATGTAATCTGTATTGGGTAATAATCTAAGCTCAGGGTAAAGATACCTCCAATTTACCAAAAGGATCCCCAACATCAGTCTGGTATGACACTAATGAGCTTCTGCAGAAAGAGAATCTACTTTTGAAGTATGTATCAAGCCAAACTGGCACAATTGTCATCTATACTTTTATATGGCCAATAAGAAAGAGAAAAAGAATTGGAATAAAAGTTTAGAAACTGGAGTTAATTTGAGAGTCTTTGCACAAAAATGTTCAGAGGAAGTAAATTGATACTCTCCCTCTTCACAATTTCCTCTGTAAGCAGTACTTGTTCGAAATTCTGTTGATCTTAGAACAGAACTTAAGGTTTCTATTTTTCTCTTCAAAAAAGACTGCTGCATAATTTATTTATCTGAAGGCCTTCAAAAAGGCCCTAAAATAAAAAGAAATTGAAGAATAAATCTCTTGAACCTAGTTGGTTCCCCCCACATCTTATCATTTCACCTTTCTTGAGGATTAGTTTCCAAGAATTCAGCCTACCTGGGTTTTCTGCTTCAGGGTCTCATCTAGCTTCAATTAACGTATCAGTTGGATTTTGTTCTCATGTGGAAGCTTGGATGGAGGGGAACCTGTGCCCAAGCTCACTCAAGTTGTTAGCAGAATTCATTTTCTTGCAGCTATAGGGATGACAGCTTCAATATTGTTGTTTGTCAGCCAGAGACCAGCCTCAGCTCCTAGGGGCTTTCCACAGTTCCCTAACACATGGTTCTCTTCATAGGAAGTTCACAACCTGGCAGTTTATTCCCTTAAGGCCAACAGGAGAATGAGAGTTAGTGTGCTAGCAAGACAGTCTTATATAACTTAATGTAACCATGGGAGTATCATCTCACCAACTTTGCCATACAACATAACACAATCATGAGAGTGACATCCAATCACCTTTGACATATTATACTGGTTAGAAGGCAAATCACAGGTCTTGCCCACACTCAAAGGGAGGGATTACACAAAGACTTGAATACCAGTGATGGGATCATGGAGGCCACCTGAAAGACTGTCCTCCACACAGGTAGAAACCAACTGCACTCAGCATTTCAGTAGAATGTCTGGGCTGACATTCTTGGGGCTTTCAATTACCTTCTTCCCATTTTCCTACTAACAAGAAAACAAATAAATTCCATAGACCTGAATAACATTTATTTATAAGCAAGTGAGCTCTTGAAAGTTTGTCTAAACTATGCACATATATTTCCATTCACTTAAAACCTTTGTCCACAATAACAAACAACCTCCCCCCTCCAAAAAGAAAGAAACCATGCCTCAGTCTTTTCTTATTCATTAAAATGGTAAAGGGCAAAAGAGCTTTGAAATGCTGTCCTCATTATATACATTTTCTACTTTAGTTCAATTATTAATATCAAGGAAATATATGTAGCATGTTTAAACTGCTTGACTAGTTTTTTCTTGAGGGTAAATGTCAGTGTGGTATAATAATCTATCAGTCTTTGACACCAGTTCCTGGCATGGAGCTCCTAAAATCCTCGAATTTCTTGAGTGATAAAAGTGCCCTTGTTATGCTCATGAGGTGACTCATGGTAGACCCCTAGATGGTCTCAAAATAGTTTCTGGCTTATCACCATAAAGACCAGCCATTTGATTAGAGAGTTGACTTTGGGCCAGCCTGACCTATAAGAAGGTATGGGAGCTGGAGACTAAGTTGGATCACGTGACCAATGAGCCAACCAATTGTGACTGTCTCAATAAGAACTCTGGATACTGAGGCCACTTAATTTCTCTACAGTGGCAGGAAAAGGAAGAGGATCACTATCTTCCTTTGCAACATCTATGGCATCAAAAACAATAAGCAAATTCCATGTTAGTATTAAAAAAAAAATTTAAACACTCATATATTACAGTAAGAAGTACTAATCTGGTCATGAGACATCCTGTTTTTCTATGCAATATTCTTCTAGGTTGGTAATAGATAAAAACAAAATAAGACAAACATACAAAAATTGAAAGAACCTGACAACAATGAACTCTTCATATATTTTGTAAAGTACTATAAAATTGTTTAGTCATTTCTGATGTTCAACCCTATATTAGAAACGTTTTCCAAATCACTTTAATTCCATGTAATATAGACCATAAGTCAGCACTCCAAGTCCAGAGCCAGCATATTCTGTGCTGTATTTACATGCTAATAAACAGCTGACCAATGAGGAACAGAAAACAAATCAAACACATAATATAATTAGGTGCTGGAGTTTAGGGTTACACAGATCTTTTAAATTCCTGGGATGTTCTAAACAGGTAGAACTTTTTAGGCAGGGCTACCTGTTGTCCAATGACATCACGAACTGATAATAACCCAGGCTCAGGGTAAAAATATCCCCAATTTACCAAAAAGAGGCACCATCTGGAGCCCCCACATCAAGCTGGTCTGACACTAGTGAGCTTCTGCAGAAAGAGAACCCACTTTTGAAGTATATATCAAGCCACATTGGCACAACTGCCATCTATATTTTTATATAGCCGATGAGAAAGGGAAAAACAAAGTGAAACAAAAATAGACGTTCTTGTTCAATGCCAAGGAATGAAAAGTCTTTCCTAAAAATGAGTTCTGTAGCCAAAGTGGCACTCAGTATCTGTTAGGCCATCTAGTACTTTTATCACCTCTCACTTTCATACTTATGTATTTAAACAATGCAACTGTAACTTTTCCCGGACTTTTACATTCATATAAATATTTACTTTGTTTTGGTGTCATATATGTGTGTTCCTGAGAACAACATATATACTTTTTAGTGGTACAATACACAGAGCTTATTTAGATTTCACCAGGTTTACATGCACTCCATTCCATGTGCTTTTGTGGTCTAAAGTCAACACTTGGAGGCAGCAATGGAAAATAGCTGTGTCAGAAGACCTGGGTTCCTACACTAGCTGTGTGACCTTGAGTAAATCACCTTAATCTATAAAAGGGGAATGCTACCTGGCCTAATAAAGAATAGTAAATTATTTCATTTAAATAAAAATCAATGACCTGTTCTGATATACTTTAAGAGATTTAAAAATATCCCTTTCTCAGGAAGGCTAAAAGCTTTACAGTCATAAGTCCCATGTTTCTTGGATTCTAGCTGTGTTGCTTCTTAGCTGTGAGACCCTAGGCAATTTACTTAATCTCCATGCTTTAAATTTCCTTGCATATTGCAGAGATAAAATGAAGTACTTCAATAAGCATTTATTCAACATACGTTTATCTAGCAACCATTTTTCTTGGTGCAATACCGGATAAAAGTCCCTTTGTCATACACGTGCACACGCAGTCACAAACACATGCCATACACTGTGTTAGACTCCATAAATTAAAAAAGAAGCTGACAATACAGCAAGGCAACATTATGACAAAAATACACTTTTTTTTTTTTTAATCCATGTACTTTCTTGGAATCTGTCATAGGAATATGATATGTTTCTGTGAGCTGCTAATAAACAAATGTGCAAGACTGAATCCAAGTACAAAATGTCAGTTCTGGATTCAGAAGATAATTCTGAACAGAAAACACATTTCAAGCTTAGCTCTTCACGAGTGGAATGTGTCTAAAAAGAAACACCCAAGAAGGTCACAAATGAGACCAAGATCAGAAGTGATGGGATATACCACATAACGTATAACTAGTACAGGGTAAGTGCTCATAAATATTGATTGAAAATAATTAAATGTGGGTCCAACTCTGTCACTATCATACCGAGTGACTGTAGGTAAGTTATTAACTTTTCTAGACCTTAGTTCTATGTAAAATAGAAAACTGTCTATTTTACCTATCTCATAGGAGCGTTGTGATCAAATGAAATCACACGAGAATGTATTAGTAGTAATAAAACAGTAATTATGATGCACACTACTGCTACCAATTAGCTTACAAGCCTACTTGTAGGATAAGATGTTAATATGCAAACATTAGGAGAGAAACAGCATCAAGATCTACTGCGGGAAAAAAATAAAGCTCAAAACATATTTTCTAAAAATGTCATCTTCCTTGTGATGAAAGGGGCTGGTCATTGCTAAGCTGGTGCTGTGCCTTTTCTAACCCCCAGGTTACAGCAATAGGTTCTGATTAATAGCATCTTGCAAGGCTGAAGACCCCGGTCCGCCCAGGCGGCAGTTGGCTGCGGAAGCAGTAGATTAGAGAGGGCTGGACCCCATCCTCAGGACCCCATCCAAGCCCTAACTAGGCTCACTACCCGTAAGGTGCCTTTGTAGCTAGCCGAGTGAGAAAAAGCGCGCAGCCACTTCCACCTTCCACAGGGGGAAAGGAC